GACATCAAAAAATCCCAATGACCTTACAGTGGCGTCCTAACTAAAACGTGGGGAACGACAATTCGTCACCACCGGAATTTGGTGATTGGTTCCCCTCATCCTCAGTCGCCCTTTGGAAGGGGTAGTATATATGGTGTTTTCTCCTTCCTTTCCGCATGCCTTCCTGGTGTAACTGGTAGGTAGGTGATAGGTGACGGGGGGCACGGGCACTGTCCCTTTACCATTAGTGGTGTAACTGGTAGGTAGGTAGGTAACGGGGAGCACGGGCACTGTCCCTTTACCATAATGGTTAATCGGTATTGCACCGTGCCCACCACTGTCTAGAGCCAATGTGTAGGAGCCACATTTGCGCCCAGCACCAAAAGCCGAGGCCCAACGCTCGGACCATCCAGAGGGCAGTCAAACTGACCAAAAGCGCCCTCCACACAACGCTCACCCAACCGTCCAGGCATTAGTACATATGATAGCAAATACTGAGATTCTCTGACGATTATAATACAATGTGCAATTGGTATATATAATGAAATTGCAATTAATAATATTACTGCATAATACAAGTCCAATAGTACAATATCAATGTAAAAAGTAAGATATAATTACAAATGCAAATATTTCGTGAACCATAAGTGCAAAATAATAGTAAGTTAAAGGACTACTGCTTCAAATATTAGTACATATGATAACATACTGAAATTCTCTGACAATTATAATACAATGATCAATTGGTACATAATGGATTGTAAATATAAATAGACTGTATAATACAATACAAGTTCCAACAGTACAATATAATGCAAACACGAGTATGTAATTACAAATGTTAATATTTCATGAACCATCAGTGCAAAACAATACTAAGTTAAAGGACTATGCATATCAATGCAAAACGTAAAGTTAAAGAGTAGTAGTATACAATGTTAGATATAGATATACTATACAAAAGAAAGTCATATTCGTACAACAGAATGGTATTGCAATTTAAATACCAACAGTATTAAAATATAATTATAATAATAAACTCAAATAAAAATCCGAACATATGACCAATACAAAAGCAAAATGTTATTCTTAAAACATCTATGCAATGCATATTCAAATACAGTCAGTAGATATATACTGATATAATTATAAATGCATAACAAGTTAAAGACATATCGAGAAAACAACCCAATACAATCGATAAGATCTAAACAATACAAATTCAAATACTAAAATAATCCAGATATTAATAGAAAAGTAAATGCATATATCAAATGGTACTTCTAACAAAGATAAATAATATATATATATATATATATAACATTCTTATTGAACAAAATTCAACGAAGATTCAATGAGACAAATCCAAATCCAAGCATGTGATAAGTTGACATATGGGAATAGTAGATTAACACTAACATGTATGCGTACAATATAATAAAATTGTAAATTATGTTACCAAGCACAAGTCAGTAGTACCATAGGAATGAAGTATTTCCATAATTTTGATCAGTTTTTTAAACTAAGTATTTTTGTTTAATTAAAAACTTACAAAATGCACGAGTGTTAGTATTTGGTATGGGAATGTGATAATCTTGTGTAATAGGACACTGAGTCACATAATGTTCAGGATTTCCAAGTTCACCACATACACACATATCAGTATTTGAAATCCCATGTCGATAATAGTAAACTGGATAGGGTCCATGCCCTGTAATATAACGTACCAAATGATGATTGGTAACCTGTCTATGTATATCAACATATGAAATATGAAAATAAGTACGACGACCTGTGTCGGAGTCATCCCAGTTTGTTTGCCACGCAGAAATAGTCTTGAGTAAAATTTCCTTTTTAAAATACGAAATTGGCCGTTTTACCATTAGGTTTTCAATTTCACCAATATGATCAATACTTTTTTGGGCAGCTATTTTTGCAAAGAAGTCTGCTTGGATATTGCCAATGTTATCTGCATGACCTTTTGTCCAGGCCATCAGTATTTTAGAATTTCCGGACATGAGCAATTCCTGCTGAATGGCAGAGATAATAGGCGAAGAATGCCTTGGATTTTTAATTGCAAAAAGAGATGAAAGGCTATCCGTTATTATTATACCTTCCATCTCGCCGGTTTGTTTAAGATATTGAACAGCTTTAAGAATAGCCATCGCTTCTGCTTGAAAAACGCTGTTTTCAGCAGTAAGATGTCCTAACCATTTAAATATTTGGTCTTCATTGTGATAAGCCACAAGGGCACAACCAGTTTGTTGCTCAATTTTCGAACCATCAGTGAATATCTGTAAGTGAGGTAGTTGTGGCAAATTGTCACATTTCAAAAAGACATTGAGTCCATATCCTTGTTGAGCAGGATGATTATCCAAATGCTGTGTTTGCTTTTCATAGTTGGTTGGAAGAAATAGAAATATGTCATCATGAAAATTTACAGATTGCTGCAATTGGCGAAACTGTTTGATAAGCTGCCTCCTGTAGAGTGCGTAGAGGCAATGGAATAATGCCTGCAAGCACAGTCAAGGCATTAGAAGAAGTTGTACAAAAAGCGCGGGTAATCTGTAATACAAAGGGTCGTTGTAAGCTTTGCAATAGTCTGGCCTTACGACCCTGCATAGGGTCGGCCCAGACTGCAGCTGCATATATAACCATCTTCTCGATTACAGTTTGATATAATATTTTTTGTATGTACGGACTAATACCCCAATTGTGTCCATACATACGGCGAAGATTAGTTGCAATGATAGTTGTTCTTCTTTTCAATTCCTGCAGATGCAAAATCCAATTTAATTTCTCATCAAATACTATACCGAGAAATTTGAGCTGCCTTTAAATACCAATTCTGGTACCATTTATTGTAATTCTCGGTCGTCGATTTAAAGATTTTCCTTTCTTTGGGACAAGGAGAATGGTTGACTTTGAAGAGGAAATTGTAAGTTTGATATTATTACATAACTCATAAAAAAGATTACAAGTTTCTGTGGAGTTAATTTGCAGTTCATCTCTTGTTCGCCCTGTGACAACAAAAGCTGTGTCATCAGCATAAGCATATAAACGGGTATGTGCTGGCCAAGTGGAGGATAGAACATAATTAAATGTTACATTCCACAAATCAGGGCCAGCACAGGAACCCTGGGGACAGCCACGATTTTGTATCTTGGTTATTACTTCCCGGTTAGTTAAATACATTAATTTTCGTTCAGATAGATAACTTCTAAATACCAAGAATATATTCTTAGGGCAATGAGCTTTTCTTAATGATTCCAGAATTGCTGGCCACCACAGCGTATCAAAAGCATTTTGAAGATCAATACTAATGAAAGCGCTGTGGTGACCACTGATTCTATTAGATTGCAAATCATTAACAATCTTTGACAATACCTGAACAGTGGATCTACCAGGTGAAAAACCAAACTGATTATCAGACAAAAAGTTTAGCACATGCAAATGATGTTTTAAGCGTAAAACAATTATTCTCTCATATACCTTACCCAATGCAGAGAGTAAGCATATGGGTCTGTATGATGCAGGATTATGTGGGTCTCGACCCTGTTTTAGGAATAAGACCACTCTGCCAATTTTAAAAGCCCTAGGAAAAAGTCCTAAATGGAAAAGTTTGTTGAAGAAGTCCTTGAAGAAATAAGGATGAGAATTAATAGTTGCTCGGATGATAACATAATCAATTCCATCTGGCCCTGGCGCCCGTTTTTTAGGAAGATTTCGTATTGTAGTTTTAATTTCGTCTAAAGTTATATCTTGATCGTCTGCAGTATCAGGAACTGTTAAGTTATTTCTAATTTCTGTCTGGAACTGAGAATCTGTGGAAGGATCATCAGATGGAAACACGGTGGTTAAAATTGATTCTATTGTGTCTTGTGTTGGGTGCTCAGTCGAGTCGAAGTAGAAGATGCTATTAGATGAGTTTGCGAAGGTTGAAAAATTTTTGTCCTTGCAATTTTGTAAGGAAGTCCATATGGATCATGATTTTGAGTGCAATATTGCTTCCATGCTGTTAATTTAGATTGAATAATCATGCGTTTATAAATTGCTTTTTCTGTTTGATAATGTTGCAAAGTATTTGAGGTGATACCATTTCGACGGTCAGATTTTAATTTTCTTCTAAGCGCTCGACATTTCTGTTGTTGAGTTCTTAATTCACCGTTCCACCAATGGAGAGCTGAAAGTTTTTTATTTGTTTTCCTTGGAAGAAGATCTTGACAAAATATCTTGGATTGTAGTTAAAACCAAGTCCGTAAATTGTTCCAAGGCAGCTGGAGTTGTTTGCAAAGATAGTTGTCTTCTCAGTTGGTTCAATTTTCCTCTAATTTTTCTCGTAAATTGACGATATTTACGACCTGGGAGATTATATCTAATGAGAATAGGAACTGAGCCATTGTTGGTTATTTCAAACGTAATGAATTTATGGTCCGATAAAACTTATTTCATCATGAATAGTCCAGTTATGAACCAAATGTGCAGTATTTGCTTTAGTAAAAAGTTAAGTCAGGCCATCCAATAGCATATGTTCTATCAAAGGTAGGCGCAGAGTCTGGTGAGTTAAAAAAAGCACATAATTTTTTGAAGATATAAAATCCTCCAATAGGCGACCTTTAGGATCAGTTGTTGTATAACCCCATGCTATTGAATGGGCATTAAAGTCCCCACTGATGATTTGGTGTTTATTACCAATAATGCGAAGATTCTCTTCTAAAAAGGCAATAACTGGGGTAATGTCATCCGTAGGAGGAGAATAAATTGAATAAATAACAACTATTAAATTTCGAATTTCTAAAACTACAGCAACTTGATCTCTATTAATTGATAAAAATTGAGGGAGAGATTTGTGTATTACAGTTAATAATGGCTGCACGTGGAGGTGCTAAAGTGTCTGCCTTGGAGAAAGGTTGTCCAAAGAAGAGGAAAACCAGCAACTTGACCGTCTCTAGTATACGGCTCCTGGGCCAATATGAGATCAATGTGATTTCTTAATGCAAATTCTATTGTCTGTGCTGTAGCTGCCCGAGATCTCTGCATGTTTATTTGTAAGCATCTAAATGATTGCAAAGCACTCTGTGATACATGAATCGCACCTTTAGACATATGTGGTATTCTGGCGCATTCGTTCGACTTGTTTCTGATAGCAAAAGCATGCGTTGGAGTTGGCGGTATGATCAACTGGGACTGGGTTTCTGGAATTCTTGTTTGCGTCGAGACAATTGATGCAGGCTGCAAAATCCGAGGAACAGTCTCGGGAGTCATGTTCACCGGCACAGTACGTGCAGTAGAAGTTGCTGCGACATTCCCGCTGCAAATGTCCAAATCGCTGACATTTATAACATCTCTTGATGTTAAAATGTTCTGTGATTTTGTGAGACTGCCATCCAATATGGAGTTTGGGGTATCGCATAATTGTATTGAAAGCTGCGGGCTTACATTGGAAGATCCACTTAACATTTTTCTTTTCTTTTAATCGAAAAAGAGGTTTTATGTCCTCTGTGTCTAAACCAAATTCAGTAAGAAATGCTTCCCCTAAATCCTCTTGAGGAAGATCTGTAGGAATGTTATGAATGGCTAGTAAAGGATTTTTTAATGTTGGTTGCTTGATAGTAACTAGTGAGGAAGCTCTCTCAGATGTTAAGGTATCTTTTAGTTTCTTCTTATCTGACTCTGTTGAACAGACAACAGCAAGACCACCCTTTTTAATTGAACGTATAGCAGTTACCTGAGCTCCAATTTTTGGAAGTGGGAACTCCTTAGCAAGTTTATCCTTCAATTTACGACTAGTTGTCGTATGTTTTGGATATATTAGCAACGTCGGTTGAGGAGCTGCTGGAAGGATGGAATGCTGCACTGCAGCAGCGTAAGAATAGCCTGCGAGTGGAGTTGGGCAAATTTTACTGTATCTTGCACAGGAAATGAGATATCTGAAGCCTGTTTATGATGGACAAGTTCACAAAATAACAGTCGAGGTAT